CTACCTGCTCAAACATAGTTTATAAGGAAAAATGAGAAATGGGTACAAAAGGAAGATGATTCTAAACATCGAAGTCGCTTTTGTCGCGGAAATAAGAAAATAATGTTGAATTATTGGCCGTCACAGTCATTGGATGCAATCCTATCGAAAACGTTTGGTCCTTGATGAAGTTTAAACATCGTGAAAAGAAAATTTGGTCGGTCAAGGAGTTAGTTCGACAAATCCGATTGATATGGAGATTTTCACCTCAAGAATATGCCATAAAATTAGTTGAAAGTATGCTTCGGAGATACCAGGCAATTATTAATGAAGGCGATTAGACAAGTTCACAGAAAAAAATGAATCCTTTACTTACGTATATTTTTATTCTTGAATGCTATTTGCTTTGTTTGAGCATAAAATGCTATCTTCAATTTGAAGTGTTCACTTACAACAATAATAAGTTTATACGGAGTATATTTTATTCTTAAGACATTAGGACCTTGAATAAGTTTTTGCTGATTTTTCGTGAAAATTAATGCTTTATTTAAAAAAAGTTGTAAAAAACATGTCACTGAAAGTATTGTCCATTGTTATGTCCCGTAGGGTCTAACGTACTTTACATTGCGTAAAAACCGATTACTTATACGACCGGGTTACAAAAGTCAAACACACGAAAAGAACACGCAGATCTCGAGCCTTACGAAAGAACCGTGAATCACACCACCTAATTACGTATGCCCATATATGGCCTGATCGAAGGTTTCCCGAATTTCTATTTTTTCCCACCAATTCGAGCCTCATCCTCATTACTAAGCAAGACATCTCCAATGAATCCGGTAGCCGCCATCCCCAAAATTTCCCATTTTCCGAAATTATAAAAGTCCGATCCATATGAATTCTGGGTGCCTTTTTTCACTTACTGTCATTACGACGTCCACGAGTTCTGTGTTCATTCACTTATTATCATTACGACGTCTACCAGTATCACTTCTGCAATTTTTATTGTCATTACGACGTCTACAAGTATCACTTCTGTATTCAATTATTTGTCATTACGACGTCTACGAGTATTACTCAAGAATCAGAATCGAAGGAAGCAACTAACTCAGGAGACCGAGGACCATCCATTTCTCTTCTCGCACACACTAACAGTAAGTTATTGTTTTATTATTCGGTTTTCCGTGTCTCAATTTCGAATAAGTCCGAACAGACATATCTTTACTTTGTCGAAAACCCAATCGCAATAATTCCGGTGAATATTAATTAGCGGCAGAATTTCCAAAAATCAGTTTGTCCCTTCCTCGTTGTAGTGGGACGCCGGTCTTGCCAGCAACGGAGTGATCTGCGCGATGCTCTTGAAACGCTGGAGCTACTATCTTCCGCCTCGGACTCCTTTTCGCGCAGAGTATTTGAACGGATAATCCGCAGAGCGTTATCACAATATTTAGACCTAGAAAATCTACCCCGCTTCCCTCTCCACTTACAGCCATTCCTTCTAGATTCGCATCCTCGTCCACCATCTCCACTTCTTCCTCCATCTTTCCCTATAAGTTATTCTCCACCCTCTTCACCTCCCGACGATCCTAACCATTAACGGTCATCCTCAACCCATACGCTCACACACACACACACACACACACACACACACACACACACACACACACACACACAC